ACGTGCAGGCACAGAAAGGGTTGTAGGTGCGTGTGTGCTCGGCTCTGTGCCCACCCACCGTCCCCAGGTCTGTGAGCTGAGAGGTCCCAGAGCAGGCACAACACAACACGACAGTGATGCCACCATCACCCTCCTAGTGCCAGGTCTCATTCCCGAGACCTGCTCAGGGGAGGAGCCACGATCCCTCGGAGCACGGTCTGCTTCTAGGGCTGGTGAGAGGAGTGAGAAAGACGAGCGTGCAGATTCTCGTGGTACCAGAAACTAAGAGAGATAACCAAAGGATGCAGGAACAAACTGAGAATTCCCAGTGGCTCATGATCTACAAAGTCTGTAATAAATTGTTTCTTAACCCAAATTATGAAATAAATACAGTGATACCTCGGTTCTCGAACGCCTTGGTTTTCGACCAAATCGGTATTCGACCAGGAGATTCGAGAAACTTTTGTCTCGGAATCCGAACAAATATTTGGAACTCGAACTTCCGAGATGAGCCGAGTTGAGCCGAATGGCGTTCATTCGGCCCAGCGCGCCTTGCTTGCGGCATCAGTGTGAGTGCAGAGAGAGAGTCACGCTTTGTGGAGTCACGCTTTCCTATTGGGTTTCATTGCTTCGGTTCTTGAACAATTCGGTTCTCGACCGTCCTCCTGGAACGAATTATGTTCGAGAACCGAGGTATCACTGTATGCAAGAGCAGTGGTCTAAACATGTATAGATAAATCAATGCGATGATTGGCGTATGAAGGACAAATGTCCAATTCAGAGTGACCCCAACCACACTTTCTGTGCCGGGTCCCAGGCTCAGAGGCAGGAAGAAATTCTGGGCCATCTCACACTTCACAGTCACTTTCTGGACACAGGAAAGAAAACGGCCCAGGAGAGAACAATTGGATAAGTTTCACTGCATTGACACGAAGAACTTGTGTTCTGAGAATAACACAATGAATAGACCAGCCACAGACTTGGAGGATATGCCTTCGAATCGCGTGTTTGGTAAAGATCCCATGTCATGAATAAACACAGAAAGTTAGCACTGAACAAAATAAAGCCAACAACACGAAGGTACAAGGGCACCGATCTGTCAGGCCCCCTCATGGAGGGAAGGTGCGGAACTTGGTTTTCATCAGGGAGATGTCAAGTGAGACAGGGAGTCACACTGCTCCCCATGAAGATGGCTGGAGCAGGTCAGACGCTGGCAGGGAGGTGTCTCAGCGGAAATCTCTCCCATTTGCTGATGGGAACGACACGCAGTCCACTGGGACGTCGGACTATTTTTTAGAGTTAAACATAGAGTCACCTTGTGATGGTAAATCTGTGTTCACATACATACTTTGATGGAAAGGCTTTAATCAGCTTCCTTTGAGCATTTCCAAGTCTCTGAGTTTTGTGAGATTGTGACTGGTTCGTGAAAATGTACAGTGGAATTGGTGAGCACATGCCCCTGTGTGCATGTCCTACGACTGCCTGCCTTGACTGTCTAAGGAGGCCTTTGCCTCATCACCCTCATCTCCTCCCCCAGCACAGCCGCCCTGTCCCTCAGGGTGTGTGGCACTCTCAGGGTGTCACCACCCGCGTCTCGCACAGCGGCCCACGGCCGTGTCCTCAGATCTCAGGCTGCTGTGCTCCGCGAGGGCTGTGCTGGTGGCCGTGTCTGTGATCGGGGAGACTCTGCCCTGGAGCTTAGGCAGAGCAGTGTCGCCATCTTCAGGGTAAAACTGCCCCATGCACTCAAGACCCTGTCCTGGGGCCTGTCGCACCCGGTGCACGTAGTAGCTGGTGAAGGTGGATCCAGAAGCCTTGCAGGAACCTTCCCCTCAGCCCCAGATGCACCAGCTGCCCCTGGGAGTGGACACCTTGCCAGTTCACAGGCAGGACTCTGAGGGCAGAGCCATGGGGTCCTGAACGGGCATCTCCCCAGCAGCGGAAGTAGGTGCAGATGCAGGAGCCGGGCACCCAGAAAAGTGGGTGCGAGGGGTCAGGGTCTCTGTTGACCACCATCGTGATGACCCTCCCCTCTCTGCTTCTGATCAGGGGCATCCCTGCTGGCTGTGGAGCCACTGACCCGCCTGTGCAGGGGGGCCTGCGGGGTCCCTTACTTGTATTTGTCCTTCTCCAGGACTCTGGTCGGCAGCCGGTGCGGCTGGACTGTGAACATTCCAGGTGCATGAACCTTGGGCCATACCTGAGGACAGATGTAGGAGAGTACCACCCTGACCAGTCAGGGACCCACAGATTCGAGGCCCCTGTAGCCCTTACCCCTGCAGGAGGGGACACTCCAGAGGAAGGAAGAGGAGAACTCCATCGGCAGCTTGGTCAGCTGACTCAGGTGGGCTGCTCTCCCAGATCACCTGCTGGGAGTGAATGAGGTCAGCTATGTGAAGGGGCCTGGCTTCCGTAGGACACCTCATTTCCCAGTTAGGCTTGGGGTTTGTCCAGTTGGGTCTCCTTCCCAGTGGTCATCTCCCCCGTGACCTCCTTGTCCGAACACCAGGACCAGCATCCCACGTGGAGGCTAACTCACTGCTCAGTGACCCCACAGCGGCTCCAGTGGGCTCCCTGCAGGAACCGCCACCTCCCGCATCTGACTCTAGGTGTCCCCGGGGATGGTCACGCCCAGGTTCTCTGAGCACTCTGGGGTAGGAGACAGACTTTGGCCACAACACCAAGTAGAGAGAGAAAGGGTCAGAGGCCCAGGACAGGGTCCTGACTTGGGGTGGAAGCTGGGTGTCGGGCTCCCAGCAGGAAGGTGGTCTGCAGTCTTGTTGTCTTGGAGCAGCTTCTCTGGTGTGGGTCAGGACAACGCTGCCTAACAAGTGAGTGTGGCATGTTCTCTCTAACTGACCACTTGAGAGACCCTGCTTTTCCCTTCCCCGCCAACCCCCCACTCTTATGCTCTGACTTCACCCTCGAAATCGTAGGTTCCCCACCCTGGGGTTCCCAGAAAGGCAGGGTCCCGGTTACCCTCTCCCATGCCCTGTGTGGCCCTGGCCTGCCACATACCCTCCTTTGCACGGAGTTAACCTTGTCGTTCAGAGTTCTGAGGGTTGCTGCTGAGGTGTGTTCTGCAGCCACGACAATCCACAGGACCAGCGCAGCACAGGCCGGTCCAGGGTGCAGGGGCGATGGCCCAGGGGGGTGGGCGGAGGGTCCCATCAGCAGGCTGACTGGCACAGCCAGTTTTCCAGGGGGGAAGTCTGATGGTATCTATCCAAGTACATCTCTTCCTCAGCTTCTGTGGTCCTGATAGAGGTGCGCCTGTAGCTCCACTAAGCGCGCCTGTCAGGCATGGACAGTAGTGATCCCTGGCTTTGTGTCAATGACCACGTTCTTCTTAGACTCTAAGACTTAGAGGCTCTATTGTTGACACTATAACGGGCACCCTGGTGTGGGCACCCTGGAGGGTCCCCGCCTACAGGGCAATGCCAGCTCCTTTTCTGTTGTGAATTCCTTTATAACTGCCTTTCTCAGGGACACAGACAGACATGTCCCTGTGCAGCCAGAGTTCCGCAGCAGAAGGTGTTTCTACCGTCCTTTCAGGACACGGCAGGTACTAGATCTCACAGGACCGGCATCTTCAGTTCCTGCTGCCAGTGCCCATCCAGCCAGGTCACCACATCCCAGAGGCCAGAGGCTGGGGTCAGGCCAGGTGCTCATCCCTCCTCCCAGTGCCCGTGGGCGCTGGCACCCTGCAGCCTCCCCGTCACTGCTGCTGCTGCACAAGCGGCTCCAGCGTGGCCCGTGCGCAGTGTCCAGGAGGGAAGGCGGGTCCACGCCGACCTGGAGGAGCCGAGGACGCACTGCCTCCCTCTGAGAGCGCAGGGCCGAGGCAGTGCGGGTCTGTCACCCTTGCGGCATGAGGCCGGCAGGTTAGCACTGTGTGAGGACCCAGAACGTGAGGTGGGGGAGGAAGGTGGGTCAGCAGGTCACTGGAAAGCAGAATGGAACAGTGGTCACGCCATGTTTGTGTAGTGAGGACACCCTTTAAATAGAAGCGAGATCGCCTGCCCGTGGAGGAAGACAATGATCGCTAAGCACGCCCTGTTAATGAATTTTTTTACTCTCTCATTGAAAACCTACAATATTGGATAAAAATATGTAAAATATCAGCTCTGTGACGTTGGGCACAACAGAGGCACGTTGTGTCCTGCTGAGAGCTGATCAGCACCTGCCGCTGAAGACACTCCCAAAGGCCAGGAGAGACCCCCACACACGGGCTCAGGACAAGCCCTTGTTCACCCCGGGCCAGAGCATGCCCTGCTGTCACCAGTGGGGAAGGAAAGAAACCTGGTCATTCGGAAAGCGTCACACAGACCACGAGGAATGTTTTATTCACTAAGCCCAAACAGCTTCAAAGTAGAAATCAGAAGGAGCTCATGGTTTGAAAATGCCTGGGCTTGCCCTGGCCAGTTTGGCTCAGCGGTTGGAGCATCGGCCTGTGGACCAGAGAGTCCCGGGTTCGGCTCCCACTAGGGGCACATACCAAAAAAAGAAAAAAAAAAGAAAACTCCTGGGCTGCAAACCAGAATAAGACACATATATTTATAAAATTAAATAACTTCAACACCTGTGAAAATAAAAATAACAAGGCCCAGCTCCACCGGCCAAAGAGGTAGGGCAAAGCGGTCCTCGGATCAAGGAGAACGGTGACCCGCAGAGAGTGGTGCAGGCCCCTGGGGACAGGGCTGGTAGGAAATCTAACTGCTGGGATCATGTAGCAGGTATGAAAGTGGCCAGACAGAGCCTCTGCTTCCTTCTCCTATTTCCAGGTTAATATTCACAGACAAGGCCTCTCCCCTCCCCCACCTCAACCCAGCTGAATTCATGTCCAGCCCCACCCACTGCCACGCCCTGTCACTGTTACCTAACCCTCAGCTGACTCACCCAGGGCAGGTTTTCTGTCACTATCTCCTTGGTAGGAAGTGGCCCTGGCAGATGGTTGGGACCTGGCCTCTGCGGACCCTCCCTTCCTCGATTTCCACTGAGGGTTGTCCCTGATCAAGGGCATGAGGCTGGCAGAGGGCTCAGCCACCCTGAGGACACCCCTCTTGCTGCTTGGGCTCTGGGTGGTGCTGGCTCCAGTCCAGTGTTCTCAAGGTCGTCCCTCATGGCGCTACATCTCCTCCGAGGTGGTGATCCCCAGGAAGGAGCTGCACCGTGGCAAAGGCTTTCAGACACCAGGCTGGCTGTCCTACAGCCTGAGTTTTGGGGGCCAGAAACACGTTATCCACCTGGGGCGAAAGAAACTGTTTTTGCCCCAACATCTGGTGATGATGACTCAGGATGACCAGGGAACCTTGCAGATGGATTACCCCTTTGTCCCTCTCGACTGTTACTACCTCGGCTACCTGGAGGAGGTTCCTCTGTCCATGGTCACCGTGGACATGTGCTATGGGGGCCTGGAAGGTATCATGAAGTTGGATGACCTGGCCTATGAAATCAAACCCCTCAAGGGTTCCCACAGGTTTGAACACATAGTTTCTCAAATAGTGGCAGACACCAATGCAATAGGACCCATGTCCATGCTGGGACAGAAGAAAGAGGCGCACCCCCTGTTCTCTCCAGCGAAACCCAGCGTGGCCCCCAGGATCAGTAGTAGGCTCTATGCATCCCACAGAGGGTATATAAAAGGCTGTATTTTGATTTCCAAAGCAGTTTATAATCAACACCGCAATGCATCACAATCTATCAAATACATGGTGCAACTAGGCAATATAATCGACGCCATGTTCCGAGGCCTTGATCTATCATATTACATCAGCATCATGGTCATGTACAATGTGAGAGACCCAGTCACCATAAACGACTTCCGGGTGCCACAGGGTGCGTATTATCAGAATTATAGACGCCACATTTATGATGTATTTCATCCACATTCAGGCTTAATGATATTGTCTACTGAACCCCATGAACTTCAGTTCAATCCAGTCGTGAAAGGTCTGTGCACAGCATCCAACCTCATCTATGTGGCTGTCCAAGGCAGACATCTTTTCTTCATAGCTATCATAAGCACCCATCAAACTGCGAGAAGTATAGGTCTGGCTGTGGAAGATGAAAGTTGTATTTGCGAGAGAAGGGCCACCTGCCTTATGCACAGATACCCTGTGATAACTGATGCCTTCAGCAACTGCTCCTTTGCAAACTTACAGGACGTGCTCACTGACGCCTACGCGGACTGCATGTTCCAGCGCGAGTTCACATACAGCAACAGAAACCTGACCTACACCCTGTGTGGGAACTCCGTGGTGGAGGAGCAGGAGAGATGTGACTGCGGGTCCTTCAAGCAGTGTTACAGCAACCCATGCTGCCAAAGCGACTGCACCCTGACGTCTGGAAGCGCCTGTGACGGGGGCCTGTGCTGCGCGAACTGCACCTACAACCGCAGGGGGACGCTCTGCAGGCCGGTGCAGAACATCTGCGACCTCCCGGAGTACTGTGATGGACAGACCTCAACCTGCGCGGACGATGTCTACCTGCAGGACGGGGCCCCGTGTACCGAGGTCGGCTACTGCTACCATGGCAACTGCACCGACCGCAGCATGCACTGCAAGGAGATCTTCGGAGAAGGCGCGGTGGACGCTCCAGAAAGCTGCTACGCCATCAACAGCGAGGGCCACCGATTCGGACACTGCAAACTGACTCAACAGTTCAAAATCATGGGGTGTGACAACGAAAACATTAAATGTGGACGCCTGCAGTGTATCAACGTCACTCATCTGCCTCGGTTGCAGGAACACGTGGCATTCCATCAGTCTCTGAGAGAGGGCAGCTTGTGCTTTGGGCTGGATGCACACCGGTCCACACAAACCATTGATGTTGGTGTTGTGAGACCTGGGACACCCTGTGGCGGTGGGAAGTTCTGTAATGACCGCAGGTGCAGTGGCACTATAGCTGCCCTAAACTATGACTGTTACCGTGAGAAATGCAACATGAGGGGAGTTTGCAACAACAAAAAACATTGCCACTGCCGCGTAGGCTGGGACCCTCCATTATGCATAGAGAGAGGTGCTGGAGGGAGCATGGACAGCGGACCCCCTCCAAGAAAAATGCGGTCAGTAAAGCCAAGTGGTTGGACAGTGCTGTATCTAAGGGTGATCTTTGGTCGATTCTACGCCCTCGTAGCTACGTTCCTCTTGGGAATGGCCACAAATGTGAAAACTATAGAGACGATAGAACAGGGAGTTGAAGAAAATAAAGAGCAACCCAACCTCTGACCCCTGACCAGCCACAGGCGACACCGAGGAAACACCTGTAAGAAAGTCACCGCCACCAGAGGGCAGCGCTCAAGCCCACATCTCTGGCTGTCGCCTGGGTCCTGGTTCACATCACCAGTGAGCGAGTGGTGTGGGCCTTTCACACCAGCTCCCTGGGGCAGCTCCTGGCCAACATCCCGAAGTAAAGCTTGGAAACCGCGTGTTGGTGTCCTGTACAGTTTTTGTAAGTCGTGAGAGCACTAACTAAGCTCAAGACTCAGGCCTGGGGAGGAGACCTGGTCGGCAGCTGGTCTTGCCCTGTGGATGCTTGTCCCAGGGCGAGTGGCCATGGCCACAGGTTCCCTCGGGGTTCATGACAGTTGCCACAGCCGTGCCCTCGGGCACCAAGGTCTTCCTTAGTCTCTAGGTGACCCCTCCTTTTCTAAAGAGGGTGGGTTCAGGGCGATGGTGTGCCCCCCAACCAACCCTGCCTGTTTCACATGGGGGTGCTGCAGGCTGTGGGCTGAGAGTGGCGGTTCATGGACTGCTTGTGACCCTGTGCCACCCCGGTGAGCAAGCTTCTTTGCCAGAGGTGCCGTCATCAGCTGCGTCCAATCGGAACATGAGGTGGAAGTGGCCAGGGCGGTGGCTCTGGCTTCAGAGGGAGTTGTGCAGGTTGCTCTTCGCCTCGCCTGCACACTTCAGAGGATGGCAGTGAGGGTGAGCTGACCCTGGGGGCTCCGGCAGCGTCTTCACAACAGGCCTCTGGGGCTGGGAACCACTCTGCCTCTGTGTCGGAATAGTTTCAACAAATCACTATTGTACAGTACATCCCACCACCTGCAACTCTCTCCAGGGCCCAGGCGGATCCAGCTCCAGCAGTCACTGCTGGTGACTGAGCCCCCAGAGGCAGCACAGGTGAGGGAGAGGGTCTGCAAGGGCTTCCCCTGTCCTGGGCCCGACTCCTGTGGCTGCACCTGGGACGGGGCACCTGGGGACAAGGAGCATTGGGCCCTGTCAGTCACATGCAGTCACAACCACCCCACAGACCCCTGTGTGACCTCTGAGACCCTCACCTTGAAGGCTGTCACCAGGCACAGGAGAAGGCCCAGCAGTCTCATCTTCTTCTGTACCAGGGCTCTGCCTTCCCCAGAGACCTCAGCCCTGTGTGAGGAGAGAGCTGTGAGCCTCCCCAGCCCAGGGGAGGGTTTACCTGGACCTTGGGCAGAAATTTGCATGTGGGAGCTCTGTTCCCATAAGTGGGGTGACGGAGACAGGGTGCCCACGGGTGTCTCTGCTCCTGACCTCATGCAATGTGCGATGTGGATGACAGGACCCTGGGTTGTGAGGTGCATGGCACACAGGTGCAAGGATGGCCCACCTGTCTGAGTGTGAGAGCAAATGTGGAAATTCATGGATGTTACAGTCGGTGAGGTCAGGGATCAGCTTTATGTCCAAACACTGTTCAAAACCAATTCCATAAACATATCCACAATCAATATGTTTAATCAGAATTTCCTGTTTAGTAATATGTTGATTTCAAGTTAGCTATACATATGATCCCAAAATACAGGACAGTTTTCCCAAGCCCTATTTTCTCTACATTAAGCACCACGTTTCCGTGAGCACCGACAGCGGGCAGGCAGGGAGACCCTCGATTCCCGCTGTGTGTCTTCCCTTTGAGTGTCAGGCTCTCTGAACAGCCTCTTCCCTGTGCAAGTCCACAGCAGAGGCCTCAAGGTCATCACGTCAGACATGGTCATGTTCTCACGTGGAGGGAGGAGTAGACATGCAAACAGGACTAGGCGTGTGTACAGTCAGAATCTTTCACGTGCTGACATGACTATGGCAGCGGAATAACTGACCTGTTTTCCCTGTCGTGTTATCAGTGATGGTGGGGTTCAGAGGGAGGTTAGTGAAGAGAATTCCTTCACAGATTTCCTCACAGGAGAGGGAACTTCAACCCTGACAGGAATTCCTCATTCCTGCCTCCCTCCTTCTGCCCCTGGGGATGGTCACTGTGGTCAGAGGTGCTGGGCTCTCCCACAAAACATATAATGTCCTTAATGTACAATGAACACATTCTCCAATCAGACAAGTTATTTGGAAATAGTACCTCTATGTTCATTCCCACAATGGAATCTTTGGTGGGCCAGTCGTATTTAATTTAGCAAAGTCTAATTAACTCCTGTTTTCTGTGCTGGGCCTGTTTTGGTGAATCACACAGACCCCCAGGACGTGCTGAGCCTCAGGGTCCAGGGGCATCGGCTGCAGCCACAGGGCAGAGAGTGAGGGCTGCTGGGAAACTGCCCAGAACTGGACGGGACTTGAACTGGACGGGACTGCCCAGAACTGGAAGCTGGACGTGTTCTGAGTCACAGGACAGAGATGTGCCTGATGTCCATGGGCAGAGTGTTACTGGACATGTAGGTTTAAACCTCTTCCCGTGAGGACATTCTGTCATCGCAGGAAACACCTGAGTGATTATGACCAGGAGTTTGTCAGAATAGAAACGTTAACGGCTCCGTAGGCAGGGATCCGGGGAAATAAGGCAGGCGTCATTGCAAAGGGGGGGAGGGGATTCCTGTTACCCACAGGCACCTGTTACAGGGTCTCTGTCTGTGAGATAACAGCCTCACAGGTCCATGGGTCAGCACTTGGTTTCATCTTTGGGGACGCATCTGAGATTGTCAGAAGCAGTAAGATAAATGGACTCGCTATAGCTCTGCTCTCTTACTTTCCTTTGGGAGGACTAACATCGAGACTCTGTCAGCCACTCAAAAGCGATTAGCGAGGCTTAAAGACACGGGGACAGGCTTCCTCGGCACAGTTCAGCCCAATCCTGTTGATGGGAACATTGTGCTGATGCACAGCCGACTTCTCTCTCCGAAACCAGGACTGTTGGTCTCCCTATGGGCCATCTTCTGCCGGCACGGGTCAGCCATTTAAGAGCCACAGGGCGGCTGCCACTCGAAGACTCCCGTGACAGGATACACCGGTCTCAGAACGGGCAAGATTGAGTTAGGTGGCCCCTTGGTGTCCAGCAAATGTCCAAGCAACACAAGCACACTGTGAGAAAGTAAACACTGGTCGATCCCCAACCCTGGTCACCCTGTAGGTTGTTTTCCCAGAGACCATGGTCCCTGTTTCTCCTCTCTATCGCTGTCCTTTCCCGTCCTTCCACACCAGCCGTTCTCAACCTGTGGGTTGCTACCACTTTGGGGGTCAAACGACCCTTTCACAGGGGTCACCAAAGACCAGCAGAAAACACACATTTTATTTTATTTTATTTTATTTTTTCAAATCTTTATTGTTGGATGTAAAATGTATTACAGATGTTCCACATTTTCCCCCCACTAGCCCCCTCCTCCCCACTCCCGCCCCCCTCCCACCTTTTCCCACACTATTGTCTGTGTCCATTGGTTATGCATATAAGTTCTTTGGTTTATTTCTTCCCAACCCCCCAACCCCTTTCCCTTTGAGGTTTGTCAGTCTAGCAATGAATTTGTACTTCTTAATCCCTTCACCTTTTTCACCCATTCCCCCAACACCCCTCCCAACTGGCAACCAACAAAATGTTCTCTGTATCTATGAGAATGTTTCTGTTCTACCTGTTCATTTTGTTTGTAGATTCCATTGTCGATAGATATGTATTCATTGCCATTTTGTTTGTTCATATATTTTATCTTTTTCTTCAAAAAGACCCTTCATCATTTCATACAATAACGGTTTGGTAGTGATGAACTCCTTTAACTTTTTCTTGTCTGGGAAAGTTTTTATATATCCATCGATTCTAAATGACAGCTTTGCAGGATAGAGTAATTTTGGTTGTAGGTTCTTGGTTTTCATCACTCTGAATATTTCTTGCCACTCCCTTCTGGCCTGCAAAGTTTCTTTTGAGAAATCAGCTGACAGCCTAATGGGAATTCCTTTGTAGGTAACTAGCTGCCTTTCTCTTGCTGCTTTTAAGATTCTCTCTTTGTCTTGAACCTTTTGCATTTTGATGATGATGTGTCTTGGTGTGGGCCTCTTGGGGTTCATCTTGTTTGGGACTCTCTGTGCTTCCTGGACTTGTATGTCTGTTTCCTTCACCAAGTTAGGAAAGTTTTCTGCCATTATTGTTTCAAACAGGCTTTCGATTTCTTGTTCTCTCTCTTCTCCTTCGGGCACCCCCAAGATGCGAATGTTGGCACGCTTGAAGTTGTCCCAGAGGCTCCTTACACTATCCTCATGTTTTTGGATTCTTTTTTCTTTTTGCTGTTCTGATTGAGCGTTTTTTGCTTCCTTATAGTCCAAATCGATGGTTTGCTCCTTGGATTTACATACTCTATTATCAAAGCTGTGTAAATTATTCTTTATTTCAGTTAATGCCTCCTTCAATTCTAACTGTGTATCCATGATTTCTAACTGGTACTTTTTTATGCTCTTGATGCCCTCCCTAAGTTCACTGAGGTTCTCACTAAGTTCATTGATCATCCTTATAAGCAGTATTTTGAACTCAGTATCTGTTAGGTTGCTTATCTCCCTTTTGCTTAGTTCTTTTATTGGGGTTTTGTTCTGTTCTTTCATTTGGGACCTGTTTCTTTGTCTCCTCATTTTGGCTGCCTCCCTGTGTTTGTTTCAGTGTATTACTTAATGAGAGGTATGGGGCTCCCTGAGACCTGATGCTGCTCGTTTGAAAGAATTTAGGAAAAACCTGAAGCAGGATCCAAGACAGGCCAATCCTATGGTTAAGCAAGTGGCAACAGCTTGGGTGGGCCTGAAACTTGGGTGGGGCGGGGCCTCAGGGAGTCAGCAGGGCGGGGCTACCAGTGTGAGCCAGGTTGCTGGAGTCCCAGATATGGCTTCTGTCTGCCGCCCCCGGGAAGGGCTCACCAAAGGAACAAAGGCCTCTGACAGCACGTTTGTCCCCGAGGAAGCCCCCTCTCCAGCGCTCCCTCCAGTGCCAAACAGCTCAGTTCTTCCCTGTATGTCTCTGGCGCCCCTCGAGCTGGTGCCCCTCGAGCTGCCTCCCCTCTGAG